AAGCCAGGCACGGAGGTCGACGGCGGATGCAGCAAGTATATGTTGGGCAGCCCCAGCCAATGCCAACATACCGGGCCTTGCTGAGTGCAAGGAGGCCAGTGAAAAACTATTTTTTTCGCTCCAACGTCCCACTGTTTCAGCAAACAAGCCCGGTGAGCGCATTGAGTGGCATCAGAGCCGTGAAAGTGGAAGGAAGCGACGAAACGTGCGGTGGTCCTCGGGAACCCATGACAGGGAAGGTGCCACCAATGTCTCTCTTAGCTTGGCGCAAGGCGCTATACTGCAGGAGCAGGTGGGAGGTGCGCATGGCAACCACATCGGCCATTGGAGGCTGCCAATCACTCCATGGCTGCCAATCACTCGAAGCTGCCATCGAACGTCTGCGACGAAGGCGAGGACCTCGTGCAACCCGGCGAGGTCAGGCATCTAAGCTAAGCCGATCGCCGCATATATCGAGAGCCATGCGAACAACTTTTGAAAACCATGTTTGTTTGGGTTTACCCCGCTTTCGAAGTCAATCATGCCATCGCGACTGAGACGTCCCATCATGGAAAATGCATGTTCACATGACATCCTCGCGATGCGCCCCAGAAGTAGCAGCTGTCGGCGCCGAAACATGATTGGCCAGCTTCTTGTAACAAAGAGTCGTTGCGCACGCGGTTGATGAATGAATGTGGTATGCCGAGGATAGAACGCATGTCGAGTCAGCTATAATGATGGGTAGACTGTAAGTGTGCGCGCCGTGTGTGGCACTGTTCGAGATGCAGCATGCAGCCGCAGCTGTAGCACTGAGCCCATGTGTCACTTTCGAGGAAGGGTGTGTATGAAAGGAACTACTCACCTGCAGTGTGCGTGGCCCCACCCCCACATTTGAGGTGCTTCGCCGCACGCAGAATACTTGTATCCGATGCTCCCGTGTGGAGCGTCGGTCTCATCGGTGGCTTCTGCGCGCGAACACGCCGCCGCGCTGTGCGCATGCCCAGCGACCCTGCTGTACCAGGTTGCCCGGCCCGCTGCCTCAGCCAGTGCCTCGCACATCTCCTTTTTCGGTTTGGTTGCATCCTGGGCGGACTGCTTGTCGACCATTCGAGCACGCGCCGCTCGTTTTGTTCGCGTTTTGCAGTCCTCTTGCGTCCCTCGGCAGCACGTCGCATGGGCTGCGAGGCTCCCTGTCACACTCCCATTTGGAGATCGCTGCTGCGAGCTACGGAGGGGGCGTGCGGCTCAAAGCTTGGGCGAGCCGCTCAGGAAAGCGGCTATCGGCGAGCACCCCGTGCAGAGCTGCAGGGTCGCCGGCAGCACCAGGCTTGCAACAAGCTGCGGCAGGGCCGCAGACAGATGCCCAAGCTGGACCAAGTGGACAGCTCGGGCGGCGCGGGAATGCTCTGCAGTGGTCGGTGGGCGAACCTCCCTGCAGGTCCTGTCCCCGTAGCCTCACGGAGCAGCTGCAGCCACTCTTCGTCGGAAACAGGCGCATCGCTGCTCCACCTAGCATCCTAAGCGTGAGAAAGAAGAGCTTCCAACCGCAGGCGGTTTCAGCGGAATCCCCTGCTTCGAGTGCTGTGCGCAAGCCGGTGCGGAAAGAAAAATGCAGCGTGCCATGCCGGTTGCGCGGAGCTCCTTGCGGCGGCAGCACGCGACGGCGAATCCCGCGAGGTCGAGCTCTTGAAGCTGCGCGAGGCTGCTCAATCAAGCATCAACCATCCAAAAACATTCGGGAAGAAACTTGTGGAGATCAGCAGCATCCGTCTCATGTCGTTAGGTTTTGTAGCGTCATTCTGTTTTGGCTTTTTTGATGAATTCATGGTTACGAAGAGGTTGAGAACAGGTGGCCAGAAGAGTAAGGTACAGGTCTGCGGCCGTTTTGGAGTCAGCAACTGCAGCACGTAGATGGTTGTTTGCACGCACAAGATAGCTCTTTCTGGCGCAGCACATCCAGTAAACCAGTAGTTTCGTCCCGTTCGCTCTCGGCCAAAACTCTCATTTGTCCAACGTTTCCGTTCCATTTGCATTCGAACCGCATTGGGACCTGCCGCCCAGTCTCAGACACATGGGGAAACAGTGGCCTCACGTGTAATGTCGCTGTGCATGCCAGTGCATGCGTTTTTTTGCAACGCAGCGCGCGCAGTGGCAGACTATTTACTTTTGCGGAGCGGCATGGTTTGCGTTGCAATGCGTTTTCGTATGGGATTAGTTTCGACAGAAAGTGCCGCGCTTTTGAATGCTGGTCGCCAGGTCATTTCACGAGCTGTCAACTCAACTCGACCCGGGTGATGCCGGAATCGCACCAAACAGTTGCACTCAACCGTCTCTCGTTGATGCAACGACGTGCACTGTTCACAAGGGCTGTCTGACCGCTGAAACATGACCCGATACTGTTGTGTCTGGCCGCAAAGGCTTTGCAGCTGCAACCCGTATATAGGAGCACTGCCCTGCTAAGGATACCAACAAAATCGAAAACGCCAGGGCATAAAATTGCTACTGCCAAGAAATCCCACAGACACAGCAGAGTTGCAGATTGATTGTACGGATTGCGATACTCCTTGAACATAGCTTCGCGCACAACACCATCAGGCATAGTTGGAAGCCGAATACACCTCATGTGTTTATGTCTACCATACAAACTACATATGCGATGTACACATGTCTGCCTATATCTGTATATATATATATATATACCTAAATATAGAATATATGTATCCTGCGAAATCTGTGCATGTCTGTACGCATGCATGTACGTGTTTATTGTGCACATTATGTAACCATATCCAAACATACATACCCACGCACACACATACACACATACAAACATACATACAAGCGACATGCACACGTATACAACAGATGCACGCATGCCACACTGCACATGTGTACGATATCTCTAGGTGTACATTTCGTGTATACATAAACATGCATAAAAGTATACATGTATGCATACCCCCATACATGAACGCATACTTACTGTATGTGTATGTTCGTATGTATCTTGTATTTGTACACATAAATAGAGAGTGATACATATATATATATACACACTACAAATACATATTATAGATATATATATATATATATACGCTGTAGGCATGCGCATCAAGCCGAAGCTGCATCTCGTGAATTTGGAGATTGACACTTCCTGGTAAAGACGCGACTCAGCTTCCAGCAAGTGACCCGATTCCTTCGCGTGTTGTCTCCGTACCGTATACTATATACGGTTGACTGTGGACACTATATACACTAGGTGCTGCATACTATGCACTGCACTGTGTATAAGAAGATCAGAAGGCTACAGGGGTCATGTGAAAAATCAGCTCTGGGCCACTAAGGGAGTTGCCGCCCGCTTTTCAGGCTAATTAAGATTGTGAATTGACGATTGCGGTGAAACGATTAATCTGAATCCCAGCATCGAAGAAAATTCTGGTACTCGTCCTCTGAAGAGCCTGACGAGTTGGGAGAACTGACATGCCGCTGCTGCCGCTCCCGCTCTCGCTGCCGCCGACGCTCTCTTATCTGGAGGTAACAGATGAAGCCCACGAGGCCGGTAAAGAACACAGTGAAGCAAAGAGAGACGTAGAGACGATTGTAACTTTCGCTCTGCCTCCCCAGGGCGACCTCCTCAATCTGCTGGGGATTCTCCAAGGCAACGGCGCAGGCCTGTAAATTCCGGCCAGAGCCTGTCGTGCGAACCCAACAAGGTCGGGAAGTTTCGTTGCCCCAGCTCTTCGCAACGTCTTCCGAGTCCCATACCAACCTGTCACCGTAGGCGTCTGGCGAGAAGTAGATGGATTCCGAAACTACGGGAGCGCCATACTCATACGCGCAGCGTAGTTGGCTTTTATCGGCATCGAAGCCGTCAAAGCCCTGATTGTTGGAGACGACGACCAGGGCCCAGGGCGTGTAGCGAAAGAGATGATAATCTTTTGATGCCAGTCGCCGCTGGGTTGCCCTATTGAACTCGGCGCTCACAATCTCAGAACACTCTTTCTTTTGCAAGTCGGGAGGCTCATGTTGCTTTACAACGTCCAGAATGCCCTGCGGTGTGCACCAGCAATGCTTATTGCGCCATCCTGCAGGATCCACTTGGTAAGGCTGTCCAGATTGATCCGTTCCGCATCTCCACTTCCCAGTCGACATCACTTTATAGGCTTTCTCTGGCTCAGGAATGGTGTAAACTTCGCCATTAAACAGCTCCGGAGAAAAGGTAATTTCGCCTTTGCAGTCGCACATGTCCCCGTCTGTCGCGCACCAATACGTTCCCGGGCAAACCGCGACTTCCTCAGTCGTAAAAACCGGCGGCTGGCTGGAAGGCATCTTTCCGGCTATGTAACCGTTACATGTGCTCTTGCTCTGGTGGTTGGTGCAGGTGACGCCAGCAGCAAGCACGTCGCAGTGTGCCAGTTGCCATGCAGGCAGTGTCTCCCATGCCCGGGCCTTCTGCAAGAAATCGTTGGAGTGGAGGATTTCCACCACCGTGGCGCCAGTGAAAATCCAAGTGATCAAGCAACAGCAATGGAAACGAGTGAACCAATCGCACCAGTTGCAACAGTCTGCCATCTTCAAGAGTTTCCCGAGGCCAGCACCGGCCCTCTACCTTTCTAAGTTCATCACCGCTACAACTTCTCTGATGATGTTTACTGGTGACGCGACAAAGTTATGCAACACGCGGAGATTATCGTAAGACTACCACATGCTCTCCAGTGGTTCGGTAGTGCCCCTGACATTGCTTTAAAGATCCGTTCCAGTTTCCTTCTTCTGAGAGAAGCGGCAGACGGATTCGATCAAGCCCTAAGCTTCCAGTTCCGAAGAGTGGAAAGTATGACGTCGTGATCACTGTCGTTGCCATCCTTGTGCTTGCCCCTGAGCTACGGTGTGTCGTGCGCAGAGAGCCCGAGATTCCTCATAGCGCTTACCGATCTGGGTCTTAGTATCACTCTACTGTGCCATGTCTGAACAAAAAACTACTATTCTCCATGTTATAAGCCAGTCTAACAATGAACTGGTACCTCGTCGCACTCCGATTTTTGGAGGCAGACGGCGCAGGTCCAGGTCTGGGTCAAGGATTTTTGGTTCAGGGCTTGGGGCTTAGAGCTTTCAGGGTTTAGGGTCTCTCGGCGCTTCTCGTCTCGTGGTGAGAGACAGAGAGGTTCATGGGGACTCTGCGGCTGCTTCGGGATTTCGATCTGAAAGCTCTCGTGCGGCCTGTGGTCTCTCTCCGCCTTTAACCTCATGTGCCCAACCCCAAAGCGAAACTCAAAGTGCTGACTTGTTCCAGTTTCGAGGGTCTTGGGCAGTTGATGTGCCGAGGACTGCTGGTTGGAGGGGACTTGAAACATTGATCCTAGCATTTTCGGCGGTCGGATCAACAAGCCTGGGCAAGAAAGTGCTAGCACGGATGATTCTAAAGATGACTACTAATCTGTTGCTGGTAACTATGAGAGTATTCGTATATGGTAGTGCTAAGATTACAAATCCCACGCCCTAAATCCTAAACCCTAAACCCCTAAAAACCCCTAAAAACTAAACCCTAAACTAAACCCTAAACCCTACCTACGACCCACCTGAATCACAAGACCGAACCAAGCTGTGCCAGGAGGCCGCCGCTGCCTCTACAACCTGCAATTTGGTTTAGGGTTTAGGGTTAAGGGTTTAGGGTTGAGCTTCCGTCATCTTCTGCTGTAACCCATGATCTCATCATCTTCTATGCTGTTCTATTCTGTTCTGGTTGCTGCATAGTGTATTCGCTTATCGTACTCTATTTGTGTATATATACATATGTTTATTTATATATATATATATATCGAAATATGCATATGTATGTGTTTTTTGTTCCTGAGGTCGAATACTCAAAGAAGGCACCGTCAAGGTTTCGGGTGTAGGGATTTGGTTTAGGGCCTTGAAAGGGCTTTCCAGTCTTCTTCTAGGGCTGCATAGATTCTCAGGGTTAGGGATTGCGTGTTTGGGGTTTTGGGCCCCAGGCAGCCGCGGAGCACGCGTGGAGTCCTCGAAGTGGTCTTTGTACAAAGCGTCCCGGAGATCCAGAGGATCACAAGGAGCACCGTTCCTGGAAGGCGCGAGAGGATCAGGTTCAGGGGTTTGGGGTAACGGTTTTGGGTATGCGCCACGGAATCGGTTTTGGAAAGGGTGCTCGATCAGGTCTGCTGGGAGTGAGCATGCTTGATTTTGGGAAGTGGCTGCCACACTAGACTAGACCCAAAACCCAGAAAATCCGAAGCCAAGCCACGAAGAAGGAAGCACGAAGGTGCAGTTGTTCCCATCCCGATACCTGGGCTTGCAGGCTTTCGGAAGCCGGTGCTTCCGGGCCTTAGATTTAGGGATCAGGGTTTGGGGCTTAAAGACTTGGCGGCTTTGGTGATTCATGCAGGGGATTCTCGTTGTTGCGCGGCGTGATGGAGTTGCACTGATGCCTGTTGTTCCATCACAGGGTTGTAGGGTTTAAGGTTTCGGGTTGTTGACGCCTTGACCATTAGCATCCTTCCGCTCATTCTGACCATGCCAACCATCGACGTTAAGACTCTTGCCCAGACGATTGTGCTACATGTCGCTGTCACCATCACCCTCGATGGAACTACAGCTGCGAGGCTCGTCATCACTCTCAGCAGTGACAGCATCATGTCAACATGACGCGTGGTGATTGGTGCACGATTTGCGCACCTGTGTCTCAGCACCTCGCCATGCCAGCAGGGGTCTTGCTAATTGTTACTAGTGTGTTGTTATATCTAGAAAGGGATTTAGGTGCATATCGTACTTCGCATGTATGTGGACGCTAAGTTGGCGCAAATTATGCGAGCCGCGCCAAACCCCGCTCAAGCCCTTCTCACTTCTCTGCCTCGAGGTGCCAACTCAAGTCCCGGGCTTTGCTGGCAGCGATTCTTTGTGCCTCCTGGCAGGTCAAACTCATCCTCTTCTCATGGAAGATCGGAGATCATAACCTGCTTGAGTCTTGGAGAATCATAGGGGTCGCCATCGTCGCGGCCGTGGCAATCTCAACATTCAAGACCGGCAGCGGCATCATACACACTGCGGTGGTCGTACCTAGTATCCTAGTACAGCAGGCATTGCCAAGACATGCTCAAGTGCTCATCACGCAAGGCATGAATAGTCACTGCACCGCCCCTATCGTCAACGTCGGCAGCCTAAATTTTCCAGACGGCGATCCTGGGCGACCTCTTCCGGAATCTCATTCACCACCGGGGCAGCAGAGACAACTGTCCAGTCTTGACAGCGCTCCTCATCATCTGGGGAGGCTTGGTTGAGACGTGAAGCCTTTGGGGCTTAGAGCGTACCCAAGGCCCAGGGCTTCTTTGCTGATTCGGCGTACAAAGTAGCCAGGAAAACGAAGCTGTGGCGAAGCCAAGAAGTTTCTTTGCTGCCCAAGCAACTTGAAACATGAAGCTTCTAGGGCTTTAAGGGGCTATGCAACGAGCCAAACCCCCTGGCACCTTGGGCTCCAAACGGTCTACTTGGAGGCTGGACAACAAAACACAACGCTTCCAGCCCCCAGTCCTAGCCCTCAACTCCAGGACAGCGAGGGCTCCCCCAGTGTCGACGATTTAGGGTCGAAAGCATCTGCTTTGAGGCTCCTCATCTCTAGGGCTTGGGGGCATAAACATGTCGGGGCTTTAAGGGCTTTTGGAGCCCTCAGGCCTGCCGCACTTGGGCCGAGGTTGGGAGCTGCTTCAAGGGGCCTTTATCGGGGAACCTGAGGGCTTTTTGGGCCTTGTAAACTCTGAAGTTAAGGTTTTCTGGGAGTCTCACGATGCAGCGTTGCTTTCGGGATCGCCGTGCCGCAGGTCTCACAGATTGGCTGATTTTGAGGCGCCCGCCAACGCATCGTCGCACGAGGAAGAAGCATCCACCAGCTGCATGCAAGGGGCACCTACCGGGCGACGGCTCGGGCGTACCTTGCCCGGAGCCTGCAAGTCGTAGAGAGAACCCGTCCCAGCAACCAACGGCTCGACCAGTGCCGCTCAACCAAATCCACAGGAAGAATCGGACCCCGCCTTCCACTTCAAAATGGCCCCAGGGCCCGAAGGCGGCCAGCAGTCCTGTTGGGGGATCTGGGGGGGGGGGGGTAGATGGGACAGGTTTAGGATTTAGAGCTTCTTGCGACCACGACGACGACTACTGCTGCTACTGCTGCTGCTTCTACTCCTACTGCTACTGCTACTGCTACTGCTTCTGCTACTGCTACTGCTTCTGCTTCTGCTGCTGCTACTGCTACTACCCGTACATGGGATGTGCTACTCGTATTACATGTACTACAAGCTGCCAGGGGGGCCTCCGGAAGGCGTCCGCATCACGAAGCGGTTCCGCAGAACACCTCCATTCCTGAAGGGCTCCTGACGGATTGAAATGTTCATGCTTCCTGGGAGCCCTGATGAGCGAAACTTACGAAAGAGAACTTTAGGATAGTAGTTATATAGGTTAGGATTTTAGAGAGTATCTCGCTTTTCGGGGCGTGGTGATCTTTTAGAGAGTACATATATATATATATATGTATATATAATATATATATATATATATATATGATTATTGGGCACTTGGACCCTTAGGGTTAGGGTTTAGGGGGCGGCCTTCCGCAAGATCGCACCGCAGAGCTCGAAGAGCTGGGTTGCGCTGGCGTTGCGCGAGGCCACGGTTCTCAGCTTTTCGAAGGCAGGGTACAGTAAGAGTCTATAACAGGGCTACAATTAAGGTCCTAACATATGTATATTATGAATATTATCCAACTGTTACTGATCGTGAAAGCAAGACCCACCCAGACCCTCCATCTACCCTCTATTAGACCCTAAGTACCCATTGTTTGGGACCATATACCCCTATTTGAGGGTACAAGGAGGGTCCTGGCACACGTGCCTTCCAAAGCTACAAAACGTGGAGAAAGAAAAGGGTCCGCCAGGGGCAAGGCACGTGTCACGAAGTCTTTTCTCTGACCAGTTGTTCGAGGACTATGACGGTGGCAAAGATGATTGGTGCTATCGGCAGATGAGGTGCAGCTTGGCAGCAAGCGCATCGACTCTTCGCCGAGCCCGCTTTGGAGCTGCAAGGCGACAGTGGCACTACTCCTGCGAAACCGTTGCAACAACGACGATGAAAGATCACAGTACACAAGATTCTGCCCATGCTGACAAGAACCCGTCGAAGTCGTGGCCGTCGTCGCGGTCGTCGACTTCGCGGTCGTCACTGTGTGTGGTGTCGTCATCACCACCACCGTGACTACCCGAACTACCACTTCCTAACTCCAGCAAGATCAGCGGCAAGCTGCTCGCGATTAACAACCAGACATGTAAGCATGAGAACTGTCCTGGCGGCAGCTAGCCAGCAAGCTAGCAATTTGCTGCGAATGCGCGCCTGACGGGCGTGCGCTTTGAGGCACTTGCTGGATGAAAGCATAAGTGTTCTTTGCAACTGGGGTTTAGGGTCTCGAATGTAGCAAAGGCAAAGAAATTGGCAACTTTGCTCTGCATATGCACTTCGGGTATGCACAGGTAACGCCAAATCACGGTGTTGTCACAGGTAGTTCACACACGGCAGAAAAAACTGTATCAGCAGTAGCAAGCAGCAGTTGCCGCAACAGCTGAAAACACCAAGAGCATGGTTTCGAGCACCTGGCACTACCTCCATCCTCGCCTAGGACCTAGGACCTTTGCATGCACATCGAAACTTGTAACGTATGAAGGATTTACAGGACTTTCCAATTGGAAGTCGCAAGTTTTGGATTTGAAAGGTTGAGGTTTCCAAGCTCGGGGTCCAAAAGTTTATATAAATGGACATAGAAGCCAAGATTCGGGAACATTGAAAGGGTTGGATTGACATGACACAGAGGCGGGATGTCACGGAGATTCATGTCTGTCAGGGCCGCGAGTAAACATGGCGGTGGTTCCTGACTTGGAGAATTCCGTTCGTGACGTGGTGCTCAATTTCCATAAAGCACATCCGGTCAAGCTGCACTTGCAAACACCAGCGCTCATGAATACTGTGCCACTGTATCTTGAAACATTTTCATTGTTCATGAGGCGAACCAGAACACCAAGATAACAAGTAGAGAATTGACAACACAAAGGGCCACGACGACGCAAGGATCCCTACAAACACCCAACGGTACGCCCGATTCAGCCAAGCTCACCATCGGCCTTCAAGCAAGAAGCACAACCCTGGAACCGTCAACCCATTACCTGCACCTCTTCTGTATTAAAAAGGACTGTCGAAACAAGGGCAAGAATCCTGACATGCTGCATGTTGAATCCCGACTGAAGATCTGCATCCTCTTGCAATCTGATCTATTGCCCAAGGCAATAGGGTCCATCAAAACACCATCGTTCAGTGCGGTGCCCAAAGAAAGCTTGGTCGGAACTGCTGGGTCCTCCAACCGCCGCCGCTTGCAACAGCCCAGCCGACGCAGGGCTGAGCGGCACCAGGAGGCCGCCTCCATGCACCTTCGGAAAGGAATCCTTGTGTTGCAGCTACATGGACAAAAACTCAAGACCTCCATTCAAATCCTTAGATCAGGCCGAGCATGGGTCAGGAACAATCGAGCATCTAGAACAACATCATCATAAATCAAGTGCATGCCTCAACACATTGGGTTCAATCTCATAACCTATCTGACATCAACCCTGTTATTTCGCTGCCTTGTAGCCATGGGCCATCCACATGCTTGGTCATGCTGTGCATGCACAATCCCACCTTAAAGCAACTACATGCAACTGTTTGGATGAAGAACTTGCGAAATACAGATATCTGATATCAACCCCGCTTTTTCGCTTCTTCGTAGCCACGGGCTATTCACATGTTTGGCCATGCTGCACATGCACAATCCCGCCTTAAAACTACACGAGCTGTTTGCATGAATAGCTTGCGAAGTACAGATAGATGCGCCACTACATTCCGATCGGACAGATTCAGCCGGCCCTGATGGTAAAATGTTCTCTCACGGTGTTGGAGGATGTTACTGGAGCTACAGCGCTCTGTGAAAACGAAAACAAAAAACAAGAAACTCTGGAAAGTAACATTGATGACTTCTAGTCCTTAAATGTACCGCATGCTTCCCTTGCCTATTTGCAAGTTGTGTTGTTCCCAAAATACACTGGAGCTGAAGATTAAGTATGACATATTAAACATGTGTCAGTCAATCCGATCATCAATCCATCGGTGCATCGCAGAACAAACTCAAAGGTGCAGTCACTCTGACAGCCTCTGCTTTTGTCACGAACTTCGGGCAATCCGTCAGAGGGCGTCATTCCGACGAGAGCAGCTAATCGAGATCAGCCAAAGAAGCCCCCAACCTCGCACAAACCGGATTGGATGCAAACTGTAGGGTGGGGCGCCCTCGGGGCACCGCCTCCACCCCCCTTCGACACTCGTTCCCCAGACCCGCCGTCACAACGTAGTTGCTCTCGCCCTCTCCATGCTTCGCAGGAGATCTTTGCATCTGCTCAAGCCTAAGCCACCCAACGCAACCGTATGGGGGCTGCTGGCCTTCCGACTGCCTAAAGCTGCAAGCGATCCGCGGCAAAAACCACAAGAACCAAGTGCTCTTGGGGTTCCGGAGTTTAGAGCTTTGGGTTTAGGGTCGACGGCTAAAGCAAAACCCCAACTGCTAAACCTCAAAAGCCTTAAACTCTTTCAGACTCTTTCAGCAGCCGACGGTGCAGCTTCAGACTGACACACACCTCACCCAGCATCGCAAAATATGCGGGTTGACGACGCGCAGTGCTACAAGTATCAGCTTCGCTGATAATGTCCGGTGGGATAAAAGGGCCTGCTTGAAGTCCGCCTGTCCATAATTAATGGCCTGACAAATGCACTGCCGGCACCTCTATCCCTGAACGTCGAGGTGTTACCCTTTCTGACGCGATGAGTGGCACGAGCGCTCTGCTGATGCATCGAAGCGTTAAAGAAGGCAAACTTGCCAAACTTTAGCTGTTAAAGAACGAGCGAAACGAGTCTACACGGATGTGGTGGCAGTGGCTCCACTGGTCTGCGCCCCAAAAACTCCATTCAAGCACGAGTAGAGCGAGACTCCTGAGCCCCTGCACCGAGCAAACCAGCAAACAACCGCCAGCATCGCAATGAAGCCAGCAACTGCGCCAGCAATGCCAGCCACCGCTTCAATGCTCACCTTAGCGGAGATCTGAAAGCCAGGAGTCAACAAAGAGACGTTGCACTCACCGTTCGATAGAGGGCACTACTACCAGGAGCCTGATCGAGCCTGAGGGCCAGGTCGTTGAGCCCGAGCCTTCCACCGCCCAGGCGGTTCCAGCTCTGGCACGAGGCGAGAGTGCACAGAACGAACCGATTTTTAGATCACAACGGATTAGCCGATGTTGGATTGCGATAGTTCAAATCGTGCTCTCACCGCAATAGCATTTCTGCTGAGGCGCATGGGTTCCGTCGTCATCTTCCGTGAGTTCAACATTGGCGCCGACGACCAATTGCAAGGTGGCGGTGGTGGTCGCGCTGGTGGTGGTGGTCGTGCTGACCGTCGAGGCCGTGCTAGTGGTGCTTGTGAGTGAAGTCGTCGTCTGGGTCGCTGAGGTACCTGTGCTGGTGGTACGTGTGGTAAAGGTGGAAGTGGTGCGGGTGCTGCTGGTCATCGTCCGACTGGTCGTCGTGATTGTGAAGCACGGGTCTTCAGCCACACCAGACGAAAGGAACGATGCCGCCGCGCTCGAGTCCCCACCTAAGTCCACAGCGATGTAGGTTTCTACACCTTGACATGCCTTGGTGCGAAAAGCACAATGAATCCTTTATCAACCAAGGGCTGCGGAGTGGCGCAGTCTTACTCCGACAGGTCATGACTGTATGAGCTATACAAGGGCTTTGTTAGCACTTGGCAGTTAGGGACCTACCCTAACTCATTTACGAGCGTGCGATGCATGGCCTTGGGGTCTGGACGGTTCGCGAACTGCACATATATACGCATGTAGTAATGCAAGCAATGTAATGTAATGTATGTATGTATGACTATACATATAATATATATATACACATATGTGGTATATGTATGCATACATACATATATATATATGCATAACTGTGCATACATACATACATACATACATACATGCAGAGAAATAAATACACGGATAGATGGGTAGGTAGATAGATAGGTAGATAGATAGGTATGCAAATATGTCTATATGTGGCTTTTCAACTGAGGTCTAGGCCGTCGGGGTCACCCCAGGTGACCACGCTCGAGTCTTCCTTTCTGGCTGCGAAGGCGCGATCGCTGGCTTTGATGAAATCCACGCCGGATGAGAGTTCACCTGCGACCGCGCTGGAATCGCCTCCACGCCCGCTGTCTCCCCAGGTAACGACACTGCCGTCCTCCTTGAGCGCTGCGAAGGCCGAGTCTGTGGCCCGAATCCGCACAACACCGGATGCGAGCTTGTCGGCAACCTCGCTGGAATTGCCACCCTGGTCGGCACTGCCCCAGGTTATGACTGAACCGTCCACTTTCAGTGCCGCAAAGGCATACTTAGTCACGTAGATAGCCTTCACAGCGGCCAATTGGCCAGCCACGGCACTTGAATCGGCACCCCAACTAGCTCTGCCCCAGGTTAAAACACTGCCATCCAGCATCCTGGCTGCAAACGCACCTGAGGTAACCACCAGGAAATCAACTCCTGATGAAAGGCTCGCGTTCGGAGGGGGGATATCTTGTACGGACCCCCAGGTGACAACGCTTCCATCCGCCTTCTTGGCTGCAAATTCAGACAAAGCTGTATAATAGCATGCTTCAGCTCCGGTGAGGTCTACTGTCGGGGTTGTCACAGCTTGTCCGAATGTGAAGACACTGCCGTCATCCTTGACGGCCCACCACGCATCATTGGTCAAAAAGGCCCTCTGAAAACTGTGCACGCTGACCACACCCGACGATGCTTCCGAAGGTAGCGCATAGGCATAGGGGTTAGACCCCCACGCGACCAGGCTCCCATCCTGCTTCCTGGCCACGAAACCCTTGCCACCATCGACGACTTCGATGATTCCGGATGTAAGATTGCCCGCCACAAGGCTCAAGTCGGCGAATCCCCATGAGACGACGCTGCCATCGAGCTTCAGCGCGGCAAACTGCTGCCTGCTTGCAACAACTTTGTCAACTCCAGTCAAGTGTCCGGCCACGGAACTGGAGTCCCCACCCATATAGCCGACACCCCAAGTGACCACGCTACCATCCAACATCTTTGCAGCGAAAGCACCCTCGTTTCCAGCGATGAAAGCAGCTCCGCTCGAAAGATTTGAAGCTACACCGCTCGAATCGCCGCCGAAACCGCTGTCTCCCCATGTGATCACTGAACCATCCACCTTTTGCGCCGCAAAAGCTTTCCACGTGGAAGCAATGACGGAGATCGTGCACGAGGCGGCTGTTCCCACACAGAAAAAAATCCATGCTTTGAACACGACACGGAAGCACAACATTGCGTGGCAAGAAACTCTACGGCGTCCGACACTCACAGCGGAAATGAGCCGAACCTTCGTTGCGGTTTGGCTTCAGAAATTTGTGCTTCTTTATCCCTAAAACAAAAACCCATTGACCAGAACTCTCAAAGGGTTCTTGGCCTTGGCCTTTCAAGCTCAGCGGCTGAGTTGTTCGGAAAGCATGTCCAATCTTGCTTCCCCTTCCCCCGTCCCCCTCTCGACGACCATTGATTCTGCCTTCCAAGAACATAGGTTAGTACCATGAGGATTGGAACCGGAAATGGGATTGAAAGCATCATTTGGCATTGTATGGCCGAATTGCCGTTCAACAACAGATTTTGTTGATGACCTGGTGTGGTGCTGATCTGACGACAAAGTGTTTCGAAACTTTTCATCAGCCTGGTTTCGATCGGATTTTCGCAAAGCGTGTCGTAAAAATACAATCAACCAAAAGTTTTTTTCACACCATCATCGGGACATCGAGCCGCTTCTGTCAGAAAACATGCTAATCTGGCGGTCACAAAGTCTTGGCCGGACTGGTGTGCGTTTTTCGGGAAGTTGGCAAACTGCTCAACTGGCAATCTTCCAATCGAGGTTTCGTCTTGCTGTGCCCAATCGCTGCTCCGCAGTGAAGTGGAAAGTTCCAACCATAAGTTGGCCAAGACAAGGGGTATTTTCAACTGTCGAGCGACTTATGAATTCATTGTAGCTCGCAGATCACGAGGATCCCTTGGTCCATTGCTCTCGGTTGGCATGACGCGATTTCATAAAAAGATGTCTAAATGTCTGGAACTGAAGGCCTTGGCATCTCTGCGCATCAAAGCGCAACACGAGGATGCTCCAAGGCACAAAGGAGACTTGAGCTGGCTGTTCTCTCTGGGGAAGGTGCTCCAGCTCTCCATTCTGTGGTAGCTATGAGGCTGGTTTCAAGACATAGGTCAAAACAAGTTCTAAAGGCAAACAGATCCGGAACGTGAAAGAACGCTTCGTCGCAACTCCGTAGCGAAAGTTTCCGAAAAATTTGCCGAATTAATTTTGAACAGCTTGCCGAACTAGTTTCCGAACAGCTTCCAGCCTCGATTTCCGGCAATCTCGATTTCCGCAATCTTCGATCCAGAAGGCTTTGATTCCTGACAGGGTTTTGGCGAGCCGCCGCGTCCTGCACCCGTGTGTCGCCTGCCGTGCCCAAACCTGCCGGTTGAAGAACTCTTCGTTTTGGAAGCCTACAAGGTCCTTCTCTTCCTCCAAGTCCTAGTGTTCGCAGTCCAAGTTAAATTTGATCGAGCTCTGTGTTCGATTTGCATTCGAACTTCGGGTCAGAAACTTTGAACTCTGTTCGACCTCAGGTTCCCCTCTCAACCTTACCTAGCCCCTTGCCATAAAGTTCTGCGAATTCGAATTGAACACAGCAGAAAGAATCGACTAGAAAGTCCAGTTCGCGAAATCGTCACTTGACGGTGCGAAAAATAATGAAAATGTAGAAATCATCACTGTTAACAAAAGAGACACATTGGAAATACAATTCTCGCCTGCACTTGAGTTATTCGTAGACTGGTCACGCTGATGTCTTGAAGTTCTTGTAGGTAGCTTTGTGCTCTGCAAATGCAGACATTGTCGCAGGCCGTTCTCCAACGGTGCTGGAATGGCTGCTAGAGCTTGGTTAGGCAACTTTGGATCTCTTGCAGGACGTCGCTGAGAGCAAGGCTTTTTGCCGAAGTTGAACGACTTCTACTGATGAAGTCCGCCCCCTGCAGTTTTCAGCTCTTGTATCTTGAAGGGCCAGACCCGCAGACCCAAACCTCAGATGTTCCCCTATTTCCCAAACTCTGGGCCAAGAGCCACGAGTTTTGATCAAGAGCAACAAGTTTTGATCAAGAGTCCGAGTTCTAATCAAGAGCTACGAGTTTGAGCCACGAGTATTGATCTCGTTCTAGAAAGGCTTGCACTGCTCTATCACTTGCTGCCATCTTTCATACCGTATTGGATCTGTAAGGCTCTGCGGCTAGTCCGGAGGTGCCAAGGTCTAGAGGGCTAGCCAAGGCATAAACTCCCCCAAAGGCTAGTCTTCGTGAGAAGTCAGTGACTAGAAGGCTGCTACGAAGGCTCCTGGAGAGCCAAGTCTCAGTGGCTGAGAAATGTAAGGCTAGGGGCTAAGGTAGCCGAAAGCTCTGGCAATTTTGGCTTTGAAGGCGATTCGGTTGCTCGTGGCGGGCAAGTGCCGAGCTCCGTGAGACTTAGGTGAAAAGGAAAGGCGTTACAACGCATCAGAAGGCCTGGTCGAAGATGAAGACGAGAGCACCTGGGCGCGGGGGTGTTAGGGTAGGGCATGTTGAGGCAAGGGAGTTAGCGCGTAGGGTTCATTTAGGCAACGGCTGACAAGGCGCAGGTAAAGGCGAGACCAGAAGACCTGTGTCAGGTTTCTCGTGGCTAAGGAGCACGCTTTTTTTGGCGTGAGCGGGCCTCGTCGACTACGGCTGTAGCACTCGGTCCCTACAAACAAACAGACTACAAACAAGCAACTAAAAACTGCAAAAGCGGTGAGACAAAGCGAAGCTCTACAAGGGCTGCGGCGCACAGGCTTTACCGGTGGTAGCCGTTCAACCCATCTATGAGGCCTCAGCGACCGATTAGAAGCAACAAAGGGCCGTCGCCCTGAGCTGCCCAAAGCAACAGGTGGAGCCAAGACCAAGCTCCGGCCGCCGTTCTAGTCTCGTCAGACAACGGGCAGCCCCTGCGCTTTGTTTCGTCACGGTCGAGCACACCAAAGTCCAGAAGTCCAATTTGCCGGGAAGAAGGGCTTCAGAGCTGTCGGTGGTCGAGTCGTTGCGACTCAAAGCCGGCCGGAAATGACCGTAACCCCGGATCGAGGCAGACGATCCACGGTGTGTGTGGTCGCCAAACTACACGCACAGGTATACCAGGCAAGGATATACCGTGTGGAGCTCCTGGTGTGCGTTAGGCCGGCAGCGCTACACACAGAACATTCCAAGGTAGCGGGTCACCCAAGACGAGCCTGAGCCATGGCAAGAGTCCTGTCTCGTGCGGGAGACGGCATCCGCACGCCCGGGATCATCTGGAAGAGATTACACTCATACCCGTCAAAGCGTCCCTCAAGACGACGCAGCGCGCGCCCCGCTGGAAGGGACAGTGCGAAAGTGACAAAGACTGGGTCGATGTCACTTACTGAGGTAATCTGCAGGGGTCAAAAAAACCGGACATCGACGTATGTCGACGTGCTGGCAGCCCAACACGACGCAACCAAGTCGGAGCACAGTGCAAGTGACCAGGCAAGGGTGTGGAATGGGGGATCGCCTGGTGCGTGAAGGTTAGGAAACGGACCTCAACGACGTATGTCGTCGGTCGGCGTGCCATCAGATCGAGGCCCTCAGCGGGCCAGAGGAATGAGCCGCCGAGCCGACCAGATCGAACTGTGGATGCAGGGCAGAGGGATACCGCCTGCCCGTCTCATGAGACGCAATGTTACGCAGGGCTAAGTAGCTCTCTCCGCTTCCAGAATATCGACACAACGACGTATGTCGTCGGTCCAAGGTCGCATAGAGCGGAGATCACCTAGTGGAGCCGGTCGCTGCCTCGTGCGGCCAGCTGTCGAGTAAGCGTTGCATGTCACGTCCACTCGAGGGGAAGTGACTCTCCTTCAGGAGATAGAGCATTTGATAGTTCCCTTCGGTGTACATTTCCTTCAAGCGTGACTAGGAGTATTGATGGGTGTCGTGGTCCTCACCATGAAGGCATGGCATCAGTTCCGTGGATATGCAGGGAAGTTGGAGGCCGGGTCCGAGGCCCCCTGCTCTGAGGAATTCATCCGCCGCAGCCTTCCAGCGGTCCTGTGCCTGAGGGTGCCCCAGCCGGATCCAGGGACGGGTGCCATCCGGTGGTGGCTGCGCTCGTCCCTCCTCCTGGGCGACCAACCGCGTCGAAGTGCGCAAAGCGCCACAGGCGGGTCGGAAAGTAAAATTTCTTCTTTTGCGGCCCACGAATCCAGTAGGCGACAACCGCGCGGAGATCCCAGCCTCCGGAGGTGGCCGCGGCGCGAAGACGCCACAGGGCGCTGTGCAGTAACCTAACCCTAGCGGAATATCCGCAAGGGGGAAGAGCAGTCGAAAGGTGCCGCGATAGGAGCCAGGATTACGTGAACATGCGCGGTTCAAACTCACCGCGTCTGGCCGGAAGGATGCCGTTCTCAAAACCCGCCATCAATCGGTCCGCAATGGAAATCTGAGGACGGCCTACCAAGTCAGCTGGAACCTTGCATGTAACCCGCACCTCAATAATATGTTGGCCGTCTCGGGTTGGGGTAACGTTGGTGAGCTGCAGAAGTGGGGCGGCCGAAGGATCGTCGGCGAGTGCTCGTGTGAGGAAGAATAGCAGCTGCACGGGTAGCAGCACGCCGCAATGTAGTAATGGTGTGGCCGGTGTCACCTCAGCACTCGTGCTGCCTCCCCCGACGTTGCGCCGTTGGCTAGAACCAGCGCCCCGTCGGCTATTTGCTGGCAGTGGATCTGGTTTGGCAGTGGGGTCACGCTTGGGAGCTAAGGACATCTGCACCAGGCTGCCATCCCGGACGGGGGACTTCCGTCCTTCGAGAGCCCGGGGAAGCGAGCCCTTAAGTCCCGCGAGTTCATCAAGGAGCAGCCACCACCAAATTTCAGGACGGGCAAGTTCATACCAGGAGAGGTCGAAAACCTGTCCTTCAGGCAGGCGTAGAACTGGATCACAGAACTGTGCTAGTGCGACTGACACTGCCAGCATGGGTGTCAAGCATACGCGAAATGCTTCGTCATCAGTGCAGCGCCGTAGCATGAGTGCCCGGTCAGCAAAATCAACAACCTTCACCCCAAAATTCTGAGGGCTGAGCTTGACTTCACAGGCGGGCAGCGACAAGGGGAGAGAAAGCAGGGTAAGGCAATCCGCAGAGCTGGGGAGTAAATGCTGTAGCGCCCCGGCGCAGTGTATTCCATCAACCGGCTGCTGAATTCTGC